GTTCTGATTATCTTCCCTCTTTTTGAGACCAGGCGACCGCACATGTCCAGTCCGAATGACATTCCAATATCGTTGCTGTAGATCCCGGTAGTGTGGATCAGTGAGTCGATGTCTCGCTCACTCCTGGCATACAGCTTGATGTCATCCATGTAGAGGAGGTTACTGATGATTGTTCCGCTTCGGAATTGGTATCCGTAGCCATTCTTTGTGATGATCTGGCTGAGGGGGTTCAGGCCTGTGCAGAGCAGCAGCGGGGATAGTGCATTGCTCTGGTATATGCTGCACTTGATGGTGACTTGTGCAATTGGCTTTGCGTTGGCTTCCAGACTTGTTTTGCACAGCTTCATTGAGTTCTTGATGAAGGCTATTAGAGTCCTGTTGATCTTGTACATTTCCAAGCATTCCAGTATCCACGTATGTGGCATTGAGTCGTAGGCTTTCTTATAGTCAATCCAGGCAGTGCACAGATTTGTCTGCCTGGTCTTACAGTCTCGAGTGTCTGCTCTATCCACTAGTAGCTGATGCTTGGCTCCTCTGGTGTTACTGCCTATTCCCTTCTGGGAAAGGTGCATGTATTGAGCCAAGTGCCTACTCACCTTAGCCGCTATGATGCCTGACAGGAGCTTCCATGTTGTACATAGGCAAGTGATTGGCCGGTAGTTGGATGGGATTGTTCCCTTCTGGGGATCCTTCATGATCCAGATTGACCGTCCTTGGGTTAACCATTCTGGATGGGTTCCATCCATCAGCAGTTTGTTCATTTGTGCTGCAAGGCGTGCATGAAGTGCAGTTCGTTTTTTCAGCCAGTAGGTGTGGATCATGTCAGGGCCTGGTGCTGTCCAGCTCTTCATACATGCCGCTCTTTCTTGGACATCTGCCGTTGTAACGGTTACTGGTTCTTATTCTGGGAGATTGCTGTGATCTGTTCTTAGATCTACTAGCCACTGAGCATTGGTGTTGTGGGATGCCTCCTTCTCCCATATGTTTCTCCAGTACTGTGCAGTCTCAGCCCTGGGTGGATCTGATCTTGAATTACCCTGCCACTGTGAGTACACTTTGGATGGGTTGGTGGAGAACACCTGGTTTATTCTCCTGGCTTCTGCTTCTCCCTTGTATCTCTTTAGGCGGGTGGCCAGGGTGGCGAGTCTTTGTTTGGCAGTTTCTATTGGCAGTTTCTAGAGCCTCAGGAATCGACAGCTTGTTGTACTTAGGTAACCTCTTCCCTACACCTGTCTGCGGGTCTGAGAGCCGACTAACCTCTTCTCTTGTTGCCTTGATCTTGGCTTCCAGCCCTCTCCTCCATGGGGGCTCTGGTTTGTGGCCTGTGGTGTTTATCTTATAGCCAAGCATCTCTAGGATCACTGTAGCTGTGGCGTAGGTCAGCTCATTGGTCTCAGTTAAGTCTTTACTAGGGATAGTACGTAGCGCTGCTTTTACATAGGAGCTATATATATATATATATATATATATATATATATATATATATATATATATATATATATTTGAGCTCATTTTTGGAAAATGAGTGGTGCATTGAAAACAATCCTGTTGCGGGAAGCCTGGTCTGGTTGGGAGAGATGGCATCCATCCCACTTTGGATGGAGCATCTCTTCTTTCTAGGAATCTGGCCAAGTTTATTAGTCCTCCACTACCAGTCTTTCACACTACCAAAATCTAATAAATTAGAGAAGATTCCCAAAGTAGTAAATCATGATCATTTAATTAAAATTAAAATAACATCAATTGGGGAAAAAAGTTAAAATGATTAAATGTGGTTTTATTTAACATAAGATCCAGTCTAGACAAGGGTGAAGGAAAGGTCATGAGAGATAATAAGTTCACACAGCCTCCTTCATGCCAGGATGCTAAAATGTATGTCCTTGATGTATTTAAGTGATTTTTTAGGGAATAACAAAATGTTCAAGTGTGAGAAAGGATCTTTATGCAGGGTGTGGCTTCGTTCCCCTGGGGGTAATGTGTTTGTGTAAAGTAAAACAGTATGTACTGAAATGCCTCAGTTAGAGATAGCTCTATCTCCCTCCATCCAAAGAACGTAAATACATTTGAACATTATTCTTGCAAGAAAATGCTTCCGCCTCAGCTTCCTAACTTCACAGGATTCTCTATAAATAAGATTGATCTTATTAAAATAAGATAATTAGCATTCCTCTAACTATGATTGGTTTTTCTCTGGAAGGTGAGGCAGCATCTGAAGCAGCCATAGAGTCTGAACAGGGTTTAGACTGCTGTGATCCAGTTGAACTTTTAGAGTTAACAAAACTACTGTCCTCATATAAGCCTTAGACTTGTATGTTGGATCCAACTCCAACCAGGTTATTTAAGGGAGTATTTCCTTTGATATTGTCCTCCATATTAGATGTGATTAATCTATCTCTGTTACAGGGATATGTACCAAAGGCTTTTGATGTTGCTGTAATTAAAGAAACTGTCTCTTGACCCAGATGACTTGCTCAATTATAGACCTATATCCAATCTTCCTTTCTTATGTAAAAGTCTGGAGAAAGTAGTTGCCAAACAAGTGTGTGACCACTTACACCACAATTAACTTTTTGAAGAGTTTCAGTCTGGCTTTAGAGCTCATCATAGCACTGAAACAGCTCTGGTGAAAGTCGCTAATGATTTTCTCATGGCTTCAGATAATATTTGTATTTGTCCTAGTAGATCTCAGTTCTGCATTTGATACAGCTGATCTTTAAAAAAAAATGAATATTTTGTAGGAATTAAAGGAACAGCTCTAGACCGGTTTAAATCTTATCTATCTGATCGATTTCGGTTTGTTCACGTTAATGACAAATCTTCCTCATTCTCAAGGGTTATCTGTGGAGTACCACAGAGATCAGTGCTAGGACCAATTCTCTTTATTATATATATGCTCCCAATCAGTAGAATTTCCACCGTTATGCTGATAATACTCAGCTGTATCTGTCTATAATTCCAGATGAAGCTAACCCATAACATAGATTACAGGCATGTCTTGAAGACATAAAAACCTGGTTGACTCTTAAATTTCTGCTCCTGAATGCAGACAAAACAGAAGTTATAGTTTTTGGACCAGAGACTTCTGTAAAGAAGCTGATTAGTCTGTCACTTCATTTGGATAGGACTAAACTGATTTAATATAATAAAGTAAAAAATCTTGGTGTTGTTGTTGATCAGGACATGTCATTTAGATCACATATCAAAGAGGTTTCTAGAATTTCCTTCTTTCATTTGCGGAATACTGCAAAAATTAGAAATATCCTGTCCATGGGTGAAGCTGAGAAAATAGTCCATGCATTTGTTACTTCAAGGCTGGACTACTGTAATTCTTTACTATCAGGAAGTCCACAAACTGTAGTTAAAAGCCTTCAGCTGATTAAAAATTCTGCAGCCAGAGTTCTGATGAATTTACACATTATTTAAATTTAAAATAGAGATCATATCTCTCCTATCCTAGCTCCTCTTTCCTGTTAAATCCATAATAGAATTTAAAATCTTCCATCTCACATATAAAGCCTTAAATGGCCAAGCTCCATCTTACATCAAAGATATGATTCTTCCTTATGTCCCTAACAGAGCACTTCGCTCTGAATTTGAAAGTTTACTAGTGGTTCCTAGAATTTCTAAAAGTAGAATGGGAGGCAGATCTTTTAGTTATCAGGCTCCTCTCCTGTGGAACCAACGACCAGTTTTAGTCCATGAGGCAGACACCCTGTCTATTTTTAAGGGTATGCTTAAAAACGTTCCTTTTTGATAAAGCTCATAGTTAGAGCGGCACAGGCTATCCTGAGCTATCTCTATAGTTATGCTGCTATAGGCTTAGACTTCTGGAGGACATAGGGACCCCTATTTCATCATCCTGCTTCATTCTATCTCTATTCTCACACACTGCAGAATCTGTTAGTTCAATCTCTAATGTTATGCTCTCTCTGCTTTTTCTCATAGTAGCTTCACCTTGTCTGTTCCTGTATGGCTGTGACACCTTCCTGGAGAGAAATATCAGCTGTGCTTCTGCCAGCAACAGCTTTGTTTATAGATGTTGTAGATCGGCCTTTTTTTTCAGTTTAGTCATGTTTCTCTGACTGTGAATAGCTGGATGTACTCTCTTCATCCTGGTTGGCTCAGAGCTCATGTGCCTGGCAGTGTGTTTGGGGCTGCCTTTTACAGCTGCTTTTTGTATCTCTGCTTCTGTCTCCTTAAACCCCAGTGGGCCTCAGCAGCTGGCCACTCACATTGAGTCTGGTTCTGCTGGAGGTTTCTTATTCTTAAAAGGGAGTTTTCCCTCTCCACTGTCACTACAAGCATGCTTAGTGTGAGGGGTGGCTATCGAGTCAATGAGTCAATGCACTCAACTTGTTTTCCTTAGATAGAAAATGGGCTGCAAGAAGAAATTAACAAATTAAAACTACTGAAAGGCCAAACACAGACGGAGGACATATGTTAGGCTGTGCTGAATTGTTTAAATGACAGTGGGATAAACAACAACCACCTGATTTCAGGGGCTACAGATGGGGCACCCAGCATGAGAGGTTTAAAAAGGGGGTTTGTGACTTTGCTACAGAAAGCGTTGGATCGAAATCTGCTTGCATTCCACTGCATCTTGCAGCAAGACGCACTGTGTGCACAAACATTCCCATCGAAGTCTATGGCGGTGATGAACCTTGTGATCGAGTTGGTGAATAAGATAATTTCAAAAGCATTGAACCACCGTCAGTTCTATGCATTGCTTGATGAAATTGACAGCAAAAAATTCTGATACCCTGCTACACAACAAAGTCCGATAGCTGTCCAGGGGTGAGGTTTTGTGCCCCTTTGTCGCTTGTTTAGAGCACGTTAAAAGATTTCTGAAAAGCAAAGACCTATACTACCTGCAACTTGCAGATACCGAGTGGCTTGAAAAACTTCACTTTATGGTGGATATGACAAGCCACCTAAACAAGCTCAATGAAAGTCTGCAGGGGCAGAGAAACACTGCACTGGAAATGCTGGAGGCTGTTTTATCATTTGAGCGCAAGCTGACTGTCTTTGCCAGAGATGTACAGCGTGGCACACTTTCCCACTTCCCCTCCCTGAGAGAATTCAAAGAAGCCCATCATGATCACACATTCAACGGTGATTATTTGCAAAATGTGATCCCTGATAGGCAAACTGCATTTGGGAGCAGATTTTGTGAGTTCTGAAAGGAAAATAATAACACTGTTTTTCCCTGTCACACCCCTGGAGATTGACCCTTCCTGACAGTTATAGGAACATGGAGAAATATGCATTTGGAGTATTATCCATCTTTGGATCAAAGTACCTGTATGAGCAGATATTCTCAAACATGAACTACATCAAATCAAAATATCGCACCCGCCTCACAGATGAGAGCTTGCAGTCCTGCGTCAAGATTAAAGTTACATCTTACATGTTAAGAAGCTGACCCTTGATGTCCAAAAACACAGGTAACATTAAATGGGCAAGAACACAATCCTGTCATAGGCACATTTTTTGTAACAAGGTGGCTGTTTTTATAAAGTGATATCTTTTTTTTGTCAGTTTATATTTGGAATGACACTTAGGGATAATATTATTTTTGCCGACATATTTTTTTGTTTTTGTTTGTTTTGTTGGTCCAATATGGCTCTTTCAACATTTTTGGTTTCCGACCCCTGCCCTAACCACTAAGCCGCCGCTCCCCTAATTCACTCCCCTAAGTCACTTGCCATAATGAGGGTTTGTGAACGAAAGCCTCCTTTACCCCAGTAATACACCCCTTGCTCTTGCTTATCTAGTTTCTTTATCAGGCTAATCTGTACGGCACTACTTTGCCTGGCGACGGACATGTGACCAAAATACCACTCTTTTTCACCGATAGTGTGTGTCTTATCACATGCCCAGGCAAAGTAGTGTAATATAATAGTGGAAAAAACCAAAACAAATCCTCTTACTATATCACACAAATCATGAAAAATCCATAGAAAAGCCACACCGAAATATACCAGTCCCAAAATGATGGTATTTTTTTATTTTCTGTTTTGAATAAATATTTAGTCTACATCTTGTTCACTTTCTGTGAAGTCAGTCAGCTAGAATGAAATTTCAATGCTGAAGGCTAAGCTGACCTATGATGACCAGTGAGGGTCTAGCATCTCCTTATAGGGTAATGCTGTAGTGTGGGGGAGAAAGGCAGGATACTGACGCTTGAGATTTTGGAAGAGGCAGCTCCTGGCATTTGTGGATAAATAGTAAAACATTTAGTAGTTCTGAGCCATTTTGCTGGTCCCACAGCTATTCACAACCTGGTACAAGTGACCAAAACCTCTCAGGGGAAGAACTGCAGCTTTTTTTTAGACTCTAATATGCATATTAATGTTGTTGTGTAGAACGGCTGTTTCACAATAAATAAATAAATATTTACTGTCAAAATGCTGGGGAAGCTTTTCAATTAACATATTCATGACACAAAATTAAAATTTAGAATACTAAAGCCTGTAAACACAAACCCAGAGAAGCAAACCACTAAGAAAGTGGTAAATATAAAAAATATATATATTTCCCAAATTGGTTTACTGGCTTCCACGCTGCATTTTGTTTTGATGACGCACGCGGCTGTAGGCTACGACACTGGTAGCTGGTGTTGCCAGATTGGGTGTTTTTCCCGCTACATATTAAGGCCTGTTTACGGTGTGATTTAGCCGGGGTTTCGCCTGGAGGGCTCTATAGAAATTTGGCAACCTATTGAACGAAGTTGAACTGAGAGAGCGTGCCGTTCACAGACACCAGAATGAACGAGTTCACAATAACGTTCATCAGGCAGTAATACAGTACGTTCAGTTCACGTTCAAAATATGAACGAGTTCATGAACTTTCGTTCAATGATCGCGTTCAGGCACAACACTGCGCAGCGCCATGCACAGTGCCCTAGTGCCTGTAAATTTAATGGTCCAATGAAGGTAATTTAAAAAAACAGGACATTTCCTTACTTTCTAAAAAAAAACCAGGACGCCCGGGACAGGACGTGAAATACGGACATGTCCTGGGAAATACGGACGTTTGGTCACCCTACCCTAAATGCTGTCTCAGTCTTACACGGGAAAACAAACTGGAAAAAATTGACCTGGATTTAGTAAGTAGACAAAACTTTACAGTAAAAAGAAAGAAAATAACAAAGACAGGGAAAGGGTTGTTTTAAGTTTATTTTTTATTTCTTAAGTAATAAAAATGTACATATTAATATGTTTTATTTTACCACATTTAGGGCCACAACTTCAAATTAGTTGTTTGTCAACAAGATCTACAAAAATTATTTTTATATAGTTAGATTTTTTCATATGTTTAAGACATCACTTGTGTGCCTCTCTTTGGTGAGGGTAAAGTTCAATATGTTACAGTTTTCACACGAAAATCTGCTTTCAGACAAGTTATTAACATTAGTTGTATGTCTAACTTACTCTGACACTCAGCTAGTTAATGCATAAAGTGTCCTTAAAAACCTAATTTAACTATAAGACATCATTACAAGATCTACTTTTGAAAATCGCTTATATCATACCTTTTTTTCTTTACATGTTCTATGTTCCCATAAAAAAATAAAAAATAAAAAACTGTAAAACAAATGAAACGAAGAAATAAAATGACCAGCTCTGTAAAATTGAAATTATCTATGACATAGTTACATAAGGATTTAAACTAATAAGAAGAATAATTATACATTTGGCTTCTATTAATCAAAACTTTTTTCAAATTTAGATTAATTTCTTCAAAAGTCAGAAATAAATAAAGGAATCTTATAAATCTATGTAAATCTATTGAAATGTTTTGACATCAGTGTAAACCGTTTCCTCCACCATTGGTTTTACATTTCTTCTTTCCACTTTTTTATCTTTGTTCCTCTTAAACGTTGGGGCAGAATAAATCAAAATGTCCTCATTCCTCTGAAAAAAAATACAGAAATGTTTAAAGAACAATGCTAAACATTATTAAAAATGGACTATACAAAAATATTTTTGTCTTACCTGCAGATTCTCTCCAACCCTCGACACAGGATCTGTGTGCAGAACAACCAAAAAGTGATTAACAAAAAACTCAAACCTAAAAATAATTATTGTGAATTTCAAAAATATAAAACTTTCTTTACCATTGCAACAACCACATTTGTTACTCTTAATTTTATAAATGAGCCAAAATGTTACAATCAGACTTATCATCAAAGCTGTGCACAATGAATACAGAACTATTTTGAAAGAATCTTGCACACCAGCACCTAGAACAATGAAACAAAAGTAAAGCGGATTATTTTAAAATGTTTTTTGTTGTAAAATTCCTTTAACATTTTTATCATAATTGGTGTATAAAAGACTTCTCCACATACCATTTAGTTTTGCTCCGCTTCCAAATAATATCTGACCACATGCAGCCACAGCACAGTAATAAGTTCCAGGGTCTACAGTCTCAGAGAAGTTGTAGAAACATTTCTGTATTGATGGAGCTTCTAAACTCTTCTCACATTCATCTAAACTGTTTCCCTGTAGATAAAGTAGACTGGGATGAGAGTCATCTGACCCAGCTCTGAACCAGTACACTCTGTTATCTGCTGGACATGTTGACCTCTCTGAGTTAGACAGAACAGAGCACTGTAAAGCCTCTGGGTTTCCTGCATGATGTGGACCAAATGAAGGGTTCTGAAGAACAACATTTACATCTAAATTCTGTCCTGGGAAAAAAAAAAAAAAAACTTTAAACTAGCACATATTTACAATTACGCATATGAAGTTATTAAACTTAAATATCACTCTTACCTTCAATCTTTAACAATGTTCCTTTTACAAAACTGAAGTCAAGTTGTCTGACTTTAATACAGTAATAAAGTCCAGTATCATTCTGCCAAGCTTCATTTATTTCAAGAAGAAATTCTCCCCTGTCTTGTTTTGTCTGAATGTGGCGAATCTTGGATATATCATCCATAGAGTTAAATGTTGCCCTGAGAAATTCAGGCCATTTTCCAGAAACAAGGCGGATCCAGTAATAAGTTTCTGGGTAGAGAACAGAGCTCTGGCGAGGGCATGTCAGGGTGATGTTGTGTCCAGCAGTGACGGTCTTTACCTCAAGCTTAAAATCTTTGGTGCAAACTGGAAATAAATCCCACATTTAGGTCTCACTAGTATAGACCATCATAGAAAGATCATTTTAGATACTACATACAAATTAACAATAAGGATAGATATCAAAACAAAGTAGATGATATATATTTTACATTTTATATATACTTACATCCAAATCTCAGAACGAGTAGTGCATAAAAAAATCCTAGCATTTTTTTGCTGATATACATTAGGGGCAAGATGCATCTAAGAGTTGATCATAGGAAAGACCTTAAGATATAATCTTGCAGAGTGGGAGTGAACAAAATCTTAAACTTTGATTGGCTATTTGTATTGTGTGGTTTCATTGTACTACAACCACAGTGGAAATAATATGAACATTTTTTGCAACCTTCTCACATGAAACACTGCGTAAAAATTCTTGATGGAAACAATTCTGGCATAGAAGTTACCATTAAGAGGCCAGAACAGACTCAAACATCACTGATTATCTGCAAGAAGTCGAGGACTGTTTAAAAGACCTTTGATTTTCTTCTCATGAGAAGTTGAAGTTGATTCCCTCGGTGTATAACTCGCTTTAACAAAATAACTCCTCTGTTGTGGGCCTGCTTTGCTAAGCTGCTAACACTGGATACATGAGAAACCCAGCTTTCAAAAATGGAGATGAAATGAGGTAGAGGTCTTACACATAACTCACGGAGAGATCCTAGAAAAATAAATTGCTTCTTTGACAATTTTTTTATTATTTCAAGTGTCTAATGTTGGGTAAAGACCTGCTAAAAAAATGGTCACCATAGTATGTCATGCTGGGATGTTTTGATCTGCTGTTTATGAATCTAAAACAAGATTTAATTCCTTAAGGGTTTGAACACTAATATAATGTTAATGTTTATGTGTTTCCTCATATCCTCATTCATTTTAATGAAAGGATCATTAAGTAAAAGTCATTTAATGGGGACCCTCGTGTTTACTATAGCAACTAGCTCAATCAAAGGAAGGCTAAGAATCAGTTAATTAAAGGTAATTTGTTCCTGATTAAGCAAATTATTCAATATTTTTCAAAATTATGTTATATTTGCCTCTTGGATTTGCATTGTGTTATATGTTTTTATATATTTTCAATGGAAGTTGTGATGAATTCATTTTATAAAGGTGTGTTTTATAAAGGTCTGCTTTAAAATGATTGTCTGTCTGAGCTTCATTCATACTTCCATTTTTTGGTATAACAAAAAGTGAAAAGTGAAAGCCCTTTGGGAAACTCCTCCAACTCCCATTGTCACACACAAGTGAACACTGCACACCATGAAATTGCATTTATGCCTCACCCGTGCAAGGGGGCAGCCCTCAATGGCGCCCCAAGGGAGCAGTGTGGCGGGACGGTACCATGCTCAGGGTACCTCAGTCATGGAGGAGGATGGGGGAGAGCGCTGGTTAATTACTCCCCCCAACAACCTGGCGGGTCGGGAGTCGAACCGGTAACCTTTGGGATCCAAGTCTGACACCCTAACCGCTCACCCACGACTAAACAGCCAGTACAGCTGTAGGTTGAGGGCAGATTTTCTCTTGAAGGATTTTTAGGGGGCTTTTATAATACTTGTTGTCATGTAGTCCAGAAAAGGACTGTTAAATCATGCTGTAAGCTGCAATGGAAATGCTCCCTCTGCCAAGAAGAACTTGAGGGCATCCCTGACTTGTCTTGTCTCTGCAGAGAATTGCTTACAGCGATCTAACCCAAACCTGACAGTGGCAACTCTCCAACTGCTGGACCCCTTACAGCAGGGTTGCTCAACAAATCCTGAAGGACCCATGAAGTTGTGAACCACACGTGGCACACACAGCTCCACAACTTCAGTGTGTACTTCTACTAGACGAAAATACCATCTCCACTATTAGGTCAGGATGTCGAACACGTCCTCCACCACGAAGCGGGCCCATAACTGGTGATAATTTTAAAAACTCATTCCTAATGTAGCATTTCATTATATTCAGGTAATGGCAGCATCATTTTCCTTCTCAGTGGGAATGCTTTATCCACCGCAGACATGGGACTGGTGAACTTGCCAATCTTCAGAGCTTTACCAAAGGCAGAGTTGGCCAGGATCCCACTGTCACTGGTCCAACCAATGGACAAACCAGGGTCCTGTGTCCACAACTGCCAAAAGGACATTGGAGAATTCGCATTGGTAGTTAAAGAACCGAGACCTGGAATTTGGGGTTGCAATCATCTACATATGCTGACCTACCAAATCACCGCAGCACGGAGGAAAGTTCCACCAGTTGTGGAACTCTTCAGCGATAACCATCCAGTCTTTGGTGGAGGTCAACAGAACATGTAATATAAGAATGAGGGAGATATGAAACAGAAAGAATAGAGATGACAGAAGAGTTGGAGAACACAAAAGAAAAATTATATGTCATAATTATTTTGCAGAAAGAATTAAGAATTAAAATAAGCATAAAAATATTAGTAGATTTTAAGGATTGCAATAAATTAGATTACATTAAATTATTTTCATTCATTCACCACACACTATGCTGATAATGCACACCTTTCGTTTCTTGCCAACAGCCAAATAAACTCCAAGACTAACACCAATAGAGATAATACATTTCCGTTGCAAAAATACTTTTGTATTTTCAAGGAATCCTGTTGGACCTACCTTGTTTAGTGAGTAATAGTTTTACTTATAATTTCTATTATTTTTTGACCAAACATGTGACTGGAGTCAAAATGCCACAGAGCTTTACAGTCAGCTTCCCCTGCTAAGCTAGTGCTAGATACAGGCACAAGATGGCTCTTGCACATACAACCTATATGCATCTCTATTTTACAAATGTACATGTGCATCTCCATAATATATAGTAAAATCCTCTTATCTGTTTTAAGAACATGGTGTAAAGGCTGGTCATGAAGTAAGGCTTAACAGGAGTGAAACACATCTGCTCATACTATGCATAGTAGAAGTCGCTCTATACTCACTGCAGTCAGTGTGACATAAAAAAAAAAGCTTGGGACCAGACCTTTGGGGTACGCTGGATTACAATGTTAGTTTATGTTGTGCCAGCTTACCAGAAGACTATGAATATAGTAACTAACTAGAACTGGAAGTTATAGTTAATTAATAGGTAATTCAAATCAAGTGTAAAACCAATGATTTATTATCAGTTGAATGATAATAACTGTAATTTGCTTACTGACCAGGGTATTAGCCTCTTACCTAACAGGTTGGACTTCTGAATCCTGCTGTTAAAAATCCAGTTGTCTTTCACTAATTTAGTAATTTTGGCTATTCCTATCAGCAACATTATTAACCACCAACCAAATAAATGTGTCTCTGTTCATTCAGATGCTACTGAAAAAAGAGTTAATCCAGCCTGAGTGATAAATTATTCACTGTGTAAAATCAACACAAAAAACGACGGGTTAAAGTACAATGGTACCTTTATTACCTACTAATCACGCAGTATTATATCCAATAACTAAGCAAAACTAAACAATACTGAAAATAAGCAATAACAAATACATAAAAGGGGAAGAAGGGTTTAAGAGTCAGTTCAAGGTTCAAGTGATGTTCGAAGTTTAAGGCTTAATGCTTTTGAAAGTGTCGTTTGTAATAGCAGCTGATAAAATGTCAATAACCCTGATGCAGAGATGTTAACTGCAGTCAAAACAGTTAAGTTTCATTCAGTTTATGGTGAAAAATGAATAATGACTCAGGAATATAGTATGTTGAGGCTGAAAGACCTGTTAGCTTAGCTGGCCTAAGGGGTTCTGGTTCCGGTCGGGTCAAACTGAAACAAAGAGAGGGTTAGCTCATGATGTAGCAGTAAGCCTCAGCAACACATGACTAGTTCGGTCTTTAGTGAGCATTATCATTCAGTTAAACATTAAAACCATTAGCAGTTGAAAGCTTCTTTCAAATAAAAACACCAACATTATATCTATTCTATCTGTAGTTCACCAAAGCAGAGCACTTATTAAGCATGAGATGGAAAGGAGGTTAATGGTTTTGATTTGGTAAAATGAAGGCCTTCGGCTCAGTTTCGGTGTTCTGCAGGCCCAGTTTTGGTCCAGTCCGTTCATCCAACAGGAACTCGAAGAGATTTGGATCAATCCGATGAAACAATAGGAGGCAATTTGCAAGGGGGTTGATTTTATAACTCACAGTAGCACGGGACATCTCTTGTTTAGCTATGATGGTTAGTTCGCAACCTGTAGCAGCTCATGGTCTGTGCTTATCTAAATCTCCGTCTCAGGCGGTCACGGCCCAGTGGTGTCTAATGGCTCCTTTGGCGAACAGCGATCGTGGCCCCCGTTGTTTGAGGTGAGCAGAGCCGGATTAGCTCTCCTCTGTCTCTGTTGCAGCAGGATTCAGGATAGGCTGCATACACTCGGTTTGAATCGAAGGAAGAATTACAACAATGCGCTCAGCTCCTTCTGAATCGCAGGAAAAGGGCAGTCTGACTCAGTCCAGAGAGCGAAGACTTCTCCGGTGGCACTTCGTTGCTACTTTGCGTAGCCTTCAGCTGGATACAGTTGCCTAGCCTTTTAGAAGTACAGAGCCACTGGAAAAATAGGTCGCTAATATGGAGAACTAGTCTTTTTAAAACCTATGCCGGAGGGGTGTGTCTTCAGAGGGGCATAGTTCCGGTTAGATCAGCGACATGTTTCATAACATTTATATAAATAATAAAAAAATTGTAAATCCTTTCAAAATATAATTCTTCTGTTATTACTCCGGCTTTAAACAAAAGAAATGTTATTCTCACAGACCTAAAGTTGGAAAAAGGTTTATTCACATTTCATAATCATAATCATAATTTTATAATTTCATAATCGACTGTAAAAGAGGTTATGGCAGAAGAGATCAGACAATTCACAGTGGACTTATAAAAGATATCCAGCATTTTGCTGCAAACACTGCATGACCTAAGCTTGCTCTAGAAATCTGCTCTGTCTCTTCTAGTAGACCACTTCACAGTTGGTTCCCCAGTCCATTTTGCTGTCCAGTTGAACACCAAGGTATTTATGCTCCACCACCTTCGCTTCTTCTCCGAGGATGCAAATAGGATTCAATTTGTTCCTTTTTCTCCTGAAATCTAAATGATATACCTTGTTTGTTTGTTTTTGTTTCACATTCAGGATCAGATGGTTGTTTCGATACAATGCAATAAAGTCCTTCACCAGCTCGCTGTACACTGTATTCCCCAACAGTGCTATAAACTCAATACAATTGCAGAGCTGTACTCAAAGCTGCCATATTGTTCATGCACCACAAATGTTTTAAGTTCACTCAACTGGTTACCCAGTTATTGATTATTTTGACAAGATTAACTCTTAGTATATGAGTAGAACTGACCCCCAAACTCATTCCTTTCAAGAGTGGATTGAATTTACGTCTGACGTAATAATGACGTGCCAGTTCATTGGATAGGTTCATATATATATATATATATATATATAAAAATATAATATATATATATATATATATATATATATATATATATATATATATATATATATATATATATATATATATATACAATTTGACATCGTACGACTAGTTGTTTGCAAGGACTACTGTGCACCCGGATGTAGGCAGGCAACAACATTTAGGAGATCATCAACGACATCAGCCTGCAAACCGTAGGCTCTGACGCTGCACAAAAGGTATAGTAAGAACGCGCTTGTAGGCTGCTTTGTTTATTTATTTGTTTATCGTCTTCCAGCGGGCAGACCTCAGCTAAAGCATAAGCTATGTGACAGACACCTTTTGCGGGATATGTTTTTGTGAGTTAACTAAAGTTCATTGTCTCAGCTGTGAGCCAGGCTCGCGAACGTCTCATGGTGGAAAGGGCGGAAAATTTGAAAGAAAAGCGGTTTGGGCATAAACTGGTTTGTGACTGGACTGGAATGGCGACTCAGGTAGATTATATGGATTTGAGTGGTTGGTCTCATGTTGTTAGTGGAAGAGGGAGAGGTAGAAACCGGCGAGAAAATTAAAGTTTGTTCGGGACACAAATGAGTAAAAGAAAGTTGGAAGAAAACAGTTCGGATGAAGGAACTCCTGTAGTTAGGAAAAAGACTGTTAGAGAGGAATTCAAAATAATTCTTAAATTTAAAGAAGAGGAAGAAAACATTCAGATTGGGCCGATAGCATTATCCAGATAGCTTAAGAAAAAGATTGGAGACATTTCATTTGCGAAAACAGTCAGAGACGGTAGTGTAATGATTATATGTAAAACAGAAAAACAGAGCGTTGAATATAGAAAGTATTTGCAGAAAAAAATGTGAAAGAAAAAAGGATTATTGGAGAAAAGAAAGTAATGAGGAGAGTGATAACAGGAATACCTGTAAATGAAGATTTAGAAAAACTTAAAAAGGGCATTCAGGATGTGGAGGTAAATCAGATAAAGAGATTGTTGAAAACGATAAATGCTGAAAGAGTTGAAAGTCCATCAGTAATGATAGAATTTCAAGAAAATATACTTAGTGATGGTGAAGTAGTAGCAGTTAAGGATGAAGAAAAGGTGGAAATGATAGCAAAGACTTTTATTAAAATAAATAGCTCAGATAATATTACTCTGGAAGGAAAAAGGGGGAGAGAAATGACAATATTAGAAAATAGACAGATATTAGAGAAGACAGAGAATGTAAATGATTTGTTGAATGTTCCTTTCACAAAATCGGAATTAAATCGAGCACTTCAGACAGTTAAATTAACAACACCAGGGAAAGATCAAATTTGTTATTTAATGTTAAAGTATCTTAGTGAAACATCTAAAGAAATTTTATTGGAATTTTATAACAAAGTTTGGGAAAACTGAAAATTACCAGAAAGTTGGAAAGAGGCTGTAATAATACCAATACGTAAACCAGGGAAAGATGATACAAAACCTGAAAATTATAGACCAATTGCGTTAACTTCAAATATTTGTAAAGTAATGGAGAAAATGATTAATGAAATAATGATTTATTATATAGAATCTAATGGATATTTATCAAAATATCAAAGTGGTTTTAGGAGGGGTATACTATGGATGCAGTTTAGAGTTTGGAATTTGAAATCAGAAAAGCTCAAATTAGTAAAGAAAGTATTGTAGCAGTGTTTTTTGATATTGAAAAGGCATATGATATGTTGTGGAAAGAAGGTTTATTTATAAAATTGATAAAGATGGGTATTACAGGTAGGATGTATTGGTGGTTCAAAGATTGTCTAACTGAAAGACAAATACAAGTTCAAATAGGTAAATATAATTCTGAGAAATATATTGCTGAAAATGGTACTCCACAGGGAAGTAT